TAAATTGCTTGAGCGCAATCCCAAAAACCTCTATTCAGTCTTTAGATTTCAGATACTTACATTGTTACAAATTTCTTACAATGCATTGTGGGTTTTTAAGATAGTTTTTTGTTTTTTGTTTGTTTGTTTTACAATGAATGAGTGGATAGTTTACTATCAATTATAAATTTATTAGACCATCCTGTAAGAAGTTTATTGTTTGAATAGAAAAAAAGTTTAATAAAACATCCATTTCCACAACAACGTTCAAATGAAGCAGTTTCTCCTTTAGTGATATTTATTGTTAAATGTTGAGTATCAAGCCGGGTCTCTTAATTTTAGGCACAAACATTTTATTTTGTTGGACAGTCTCAATTTCTAATCTTGAGCAAAGAAAAAATGTTTTGTTTTTTTAAAAAGGAGTAAGCCTTGGAGTAGGAACATCTCTCCTATATTGGATTGCTTCCTAATTCTTTAATTCTGAGATCAAAAGATTTTTTTTTTATTATTTTGTTTCCCAGCAGAATTAACTGTCCTTAATCTGTCAGGCCAAATATTCATTTTAAATATTCTATCAAACTTGTCATCCTGTTTGGCCTACGCTCCTCAGAGTCCTATCATTTTGATATAACTTCTTGATTCTGAACACCTGCAACCCCAAGACAACATGATCAAAATAATCAAACAAAAGAGTTCCAGGACTCGAGGACTTTGTACACATTTTTAGCCACGATTCTTCCTTTTTTCTTTCTTTGGCCTTTTCATTTTAGCGACTTTTTTCTTTCTTTCTCAATATGATTTCGAGTCTTCCAAAGTGGATACTATTTTATTTCAGGTGGGCCGTTTAATAGTGTGTTGGTGTTTTCAAGGTCTCTAAAACAAAGTCTGATGTGTTAACAGTCTTATTAACGATGTTAAAATAGAATTGACAGCTTGTGGGTGCCGCTGGAGCACAATAGCCCGGCAGCCTCCCCCGCCCCCCATAAACGGCCCCCGCTGTCTTCCCTTTGTTTCAGACCCAATCAGCAAACTAAACTTTTGTGGAGCAAGGAGGCCGTTCAAGTGTTTCCGAGGCAGCTGAAGGGAGGAGCCAGGGTGGAATTTATGGGGAAACCAATCAGTGCTGGGGGGAGAATGACCCCAAATTGGGAAGAAGGGCTCTGCTGGTCTGCGTGGCTCCCTGACCTCTCCTTGTGGGTTTTGTTCTCATAAGGCACTTTGTTCTGGTTGTGTTGGGTTCCCTAAAAGCCCCAGAAGTTTGCGAGGTTCTGGCTTATGGAAAGCCTGTTCCAACATAGACAGACTGGTGCCGTGTGATTTTCAGGAGCTTGACTAAATGTGAGCATTTAGGTTTTTTGGAAGTCTTATGTGGGCTCTCAATAGTTTAAAATACTTAATTTTTTTTTTTAAAGGAACACAATTTTATCAATTCTCTTGAGCCAAAATAGCTTCCAGCTTTCTTCTGGTGTCTTGGGAATTACTGGGGTCACAGAACTGCATTACTGTGTGTCCTTTATACTTTGTTTCATTTGCGTTTTACAGAAATAGCTGTGTGTGTCCAGTTCATTAAAACATTGTCTTTTCCAGACAATAGTCATAATAAGACAAACAAAGATTTTTAAAGAAAAGGCCAACTTTTTGCATCAATATTGCTAGTGACAAATTTGAGAAGCCATCTTATTGCAAAATACAGATTTATTGGACAGCCTGATGAATGGTTAACGCCACCATCTGATTTAATAATTTATAAAGTACAGCACTTTTATAAACTCTGCCTCTGGCACCCTGAGTGTTACAGGAGTTTGGGTAAGGGTTAAGGAAACACTGTTACGATTTTTTTTTTTTCAGGTTGCAGAGGATGTTTCTTTGTTTGTTCGTTGGTTCGTTCATTAGCCTTGTGCTTTCTTGTAGTGTGCATTGTTGCTGATTTTTACTTGTCAACAGGCTGCTGTTCAGTGACTTATACTGAGACCTAAGGTGGTACCCTGTAGGTACAAAGAAAAAAATGTTGGGCAGCACACAGGACACGAAGCATTTTCTTTAGAGCTGTGTTCCATGAAGCTCCTCAAGTACACTGAAACACAAATGATTTGTCAAGGAACACGCGAACACTCCCCTTCTCTAAGCTCACACTGAGTTGCTCAGGCAAAACCCTAAGGGGAATATTTTCTTCTACTCTGTAAGCCCTGAAAATGTGCACCATTGATTGAACAGCGTATGAAACGGGAGCAAACAGTCGTCATTTGATGCCACCCACACGCATGGGTATAAATAATACCGTTTTCCGGTTGGCATCCTTGAGCGAGTGCCGCGTGATTAGGGCATTTTACCTGAGCAAGGGAGAATGACGCTGTGGTGCCTCTCCCTGGATCGTTACTGCTTGTCACTCTTTCCTGCAGTCTACATGGCTGCCCACACTCCATCCCGTGGCCGAGTGTGTCCTCACATTCCACTGCTGGGCCACAGAACCAGTGCATGTCCAGTGTAACCGACCTCTTTTCTCCAGTGCCCACTGAAAGAGGCTGTGCAGCTGGGCATATGCCTAGGGATGCGGGCACCATGCTGCCAGCATCAATACTGTGTCCACCTGATGGAACTGCCTGGTGTGTGTCTGTGTGACTTAGGGACACTAAGAAAGCCAAAAGGATTAGCAACAAACAAAGAAAGCTTGTCACCTTTGTGCAGAAGCCAGCTGGCACCTCTCAGAGACAACCCAACCAGCTCCATTTTCACTAAAGCCAAGCTGCAGAGCATTGCAGGCCTGAATAGGCTAGGAAAGGGGGGAAGAGGCCAGGAGCGTGAAGGAGGAGCCCACTTCTTTTACTGCAGGTGACACAGGGAGAGGCAAACCCACAGATGTAAAGAAACTCTAATAAGCAGTGTAAGTTCACTCTTCAGGGATGTCTTGAAGAGCTTTGGTCCTTCGAAAGCCCTTTCTGATTTATTTTCCAAACTTAAAGGGGAAAGAGAAAGTCAATGGTCTCAACATTTGCTTTAGTTAAGTGACCTAAATAGATTGTAACTCTTGGCCACCAGCACTTAGATAAATCAATGTCCTATATGTGAGCTAGGTGCCACCTGGACAAGGGTTCTCGTGGCTTTCGAGAGCTCCGGACTGGCCAGAGTAGCTTTCTGGGGAAATAAAGTTTCTGAGCAATTTTAATGTTTGCTTTTGCATTTGAAAATCTGTCCACTGCAGAGACGATTTTTCTCTGGGGTCATGTGATGCCCTGAGGTCGGTACTTCAAATCCATCTGTGAAATGCCATTTAAAAAATAATCTGTAAAATTGTGTCTGTTTAATCAAATAAGAGAGATTTGGAGAAAAAAATTTTTTTGGATGTGGGGAGTAAGGGGCATTGAGACAGGGTCTCTGTGTAGCCTGGCTCTTCTGGACCTTATGTAGACCAGGCTGTCCTTGAGCTCAGAAATCCACCTGTCTCTGCCTCTGTTGGGATTAAAGATGGGTGACACATGCCTGGCTGTCACTTTGTTTTTCAGTGCTCATTCTATGGGGATGTTAAGTAATCGTTGTAATTATTAAAGATAGCTAAGCACGTCATCATTTTAGTGTGCCTTTTCAGATACTGCTATACATGATCTTAGAAAGGGTTCTCCAGTAGGGTTTATTGGCTTGGTTTTAAAGGTGAAGAAATGATAAATGCATATGTTCCTCATGTGGTATATTGTGCCAGCTTTTTAAAAACTGCCTGTGACTTATATGTTAGCAAATTCATCTGATCTGCAAAATGGCTAAAGTTGTGACTGCAAGACTGAGGAAGTCTGGACTGTTTATGGTACCTCTAAAAGATGACCAAAATTAGTAACGCGATAAGGTGATAATGGGCAGTCTCTCTTTTGGTTCCCAATTGCATGAGTCTTAGTTTTATGATAGCTCAGCATCCATGTGTTTGTAAAATACTGTAATGTGTCACATAACTGTAGCATAACAGTAAAATAGGAAAATTACTCCCTCTGTATTTTATGGGCAAAAATTATAATCGTCATATCGTAGATGAATGATGTTTTTCAGTTAAAGGGTAGTCTGGCTAAAATAGGATTCTTTTAAAATGTCATAAAATACACAAAAATATATTTATTCTTTTTAAAGTATCTATTAATGCTACAGATAGATGAACTTCATTGTGACGTTTTCATATGTGTACATAATGTGCGTTGGTTACACACATCCTCTTCTATTACCCTTTCACCCTCCTATATTTCTTTTAAAAACAGTTTTCCTCCATTTGTTAAAGAAAAAAGAAAAATTAAAAAGTCTCCCAAACATACACTGTAGAGGGTGGCCATGGTATACTTAGTTGTTGTTGTGTTGTTTCGTTTTTTGCCACCATTTCAGAAACAGAGCCGTGCTGTTGGGCACCAGGAAATCTAAATGATGTTTCTAGGAGTCGTTTTACAGCCTAAGCAGGCAGGGAAGCACTCCAAAGTGGCGGAGGTCAGAAAGAGGAAATGCTAGGGACGGCCCCTCTTCAAAGAGAGAGCAGAAGAGGAAAAACATGTTTCTCAGGAATACCTAAAACTGCCTAGTGTTCCCTGAGCATTTTTTACAATAATATTTTCATAAAAATATTTTAGTTGACGGATGCAGAGGAAGAAAAATCCTGTTTTATAAGCTGTAATATCTTATCAATATAGTTTTCAGTGGGGACAAAAAAAAAAATCTAAGTGAACTTTCACAAGATAACCCTAAGAAACATCTCCACATATGGTCCCAAAGATTTACAAAAATAAGCGAGTGGAAATAACCATTTTGTGGAAAGAAATCTGTTTGGTATTGCTCTGAGCTGCCGTTAGAGTCCAGCCGGGCTTCGTTTCTGTCAGGTATTGTGATAATCCAGTGTCCATTTTCATTCAGGGAGTTTAGAGGAGGCATTGTTCTATGTCCTCAGAATAATGTTTTCTTTAAACAACTCTAACATCAAAATGGCCAAACCGTCGGACGGATGCATGTTAGATAAAACAGATGGGATTCTCAGATCGTGTGCCGTTCAGCCGTTTGATGGAATTCGCGCCACCCTGACCAGTGAGCCCAGATGGCGCTTAAATCTGTCACTCTTTAACGACCCTACTGTTTTTTAAAAATATTTTTATATTGAGCTCATTCAGTTTAATCTGAGAGATTAATCATTTCCAAGGTCTGTCCGGGGAGGGCCTGACTGAGGACTTTCTCCTGCCAGCTGAAGTGGTAAGATGGCACGGGACTCCGCCTACCTGGTGGAAGAGTCCTGGACGGAGGCCCTGTAGGCTTTGGGCTTTGGGACATTCATAGACAGCAGGGTTGAGAAGCCCACCCGGGGAGTAGTAGCGGTGTCGCTGAGGGACAGGGAAGGACATTTGGGAAAGGCCTCCGGGGTGTGTGTGTGTGTGTGTGTGTGTGTGTGTGTGTGTGTGTGTGTGTAGATGAACACTGACTCGGCCAGAAAACTCACTGCTGTCGCCAACCAACCTCCGTGTTCTGCAAGGGGTCTGGTGCTGGCTGCGGCCTTGACGGGATGGCCCTCACGGCAGAGGGATGACCCAGTGGGAGTGCCACCTGGAGCAGACCCCCAGATGGATGAGCCTCTGAGATGGTTCTAGAAACAATTGGCTTAACACTAGAATGCTCACCAATCTCCTAGGGCTTTCTCCCAAGGGCTCCTAGCCTCTCTTTTCCTTAAATTACTATTTTGAGACAGTGATTTGGGCCATGAGGTGCTGGCCAGCGTTCCCTTCCGAAGTCCTAACCTCACATTTGTCTGCAGGGCTGCTTGCAGTTGCTCCGTCCCTGCTGGGATTAGAAAAGGGGAAACGCATGGTTTTTCATTATGCAGTTGTGATTTTTACCCCCTGCATTTGCATCTGATGTAGCAGGTGTGAAAATACGGTACAGAATTTACAGCATTAATGTGAAAATTTCCATTACCACTAAAAGGCTACCAGCGATGGCCAAACATTCGCAGAACTAAGGAGGCCCTGCTGCCTCTAAAGATGCTCCTGGCAGTGTCTGGGTGTGCTGAGGTAGCATTGCTGTGGGTCATGTGACTGCTGCTTCTACCCAGGAGTCTCCTAGAGGGATGCTGATATGCCTGGGGCCCAAATGTCCTAGGTCCCCTGAGTTTCTACCCACTGAACTCAGGTTGGAATGCTGCTTTAGGATGGAATTTCTTCCTAAATGAGACAGCCTTCATGAAGACCATCAGGGGGGAACAGAGAAGCAAGCTGTGCTGGGAGCTGTGTTTTGGGAAGTTTTAGGGCTCTTGGAGACTCAAGGTCCAAAATCATTGTATGATGGCACATAGCTGTAATCTCGACACTCTGAAGGCTGGAGCACAAGGAGTGATACTGGTTCAAGGCCAGCCTGGCCTACTTAGTGAGTTCCAAGCCAGCCAAAGGTTCATAGTGAGACCCTGTTTTGCAGATAGGCTTTGTACTGTCTAAGCAGAACATTGAGCCCTTACTTAGTATGCTGATGGTAAGCACGGAACAGCCTGGGTTGCAACAATATGCAGGTTGTGGAAGGGACTGCATGGTTGTCCTGCCTCAGAACGCTAAGCCTATCCATCCATACACCTAAGGAAGAATGGAAAGGTTGCCTGCCATCTGCAGCTTAGGGTTTGATGGTAATTAGAAAGATAGGATTTTGTATGTGTGATGGCTTCAATTTACAAAGTAAAATACGACAATTTATGGGAAGCAACTAATGGTTTCCACATTAAATATGATCTTGATGGGTCTTAGGGGTGGCTCAGTCAGTAGAATGCTGTGTAAGCTTGCAGCTCTGAGTTGGATCAGCAGCACCCATGAACAGAAGCACAGGCTTGTCCACCTGTAACCTAGCACCAGGCGACAGCTTCCGTGAGAGACCCTGCCTCAAAAAGGCAGGTTGAAGCTGAGTGTGGTGGTGCACACCTTTAGTCCCAGCACTTGGGAGGCTGAGGCAGGAGGATCTGTGTGAGTTCAAAGCCAGCCTGATCTAAATAGTGAGATCTAGGACAGCCAGGGTTACTTAGTGAGACCCTAGTTTTTTTTTGTGGGGGAGCGTTGAAAATGATTGAGGAAGACACCTGACATCAACCTCCTCTAGTACACACACATACACACAGTCTTGATGAAGTCATATAACACGTATAATATTTTTAAAATTACTACTTTTTTATTACATTATATATTCTATAGTTATAATAAATATTCTCTCTTAAATTTATTTTTTTACTGGTCTGTTTATTCTACTTATTTAATTTCCTCTAAAAACTAAAATCTTTGTAATATTCCCATTGGAAAATGGTCTGTTTTGAAACAAAAGGAGCTGATACAGATATGAAGTTGTAGCTGTTGATTTATAGATATAAGCAGAAGGATTCTTATAGGAAATAAGCTTGTACCCTTTATTGTCAATTAAAGAAAATAGTAGCAAAAATAAACCTTCACCATTGATATCTTCTTCGCTGCTTAAACTTATGAACGGGACCTGTCAAGAGAAAGAGTAGCTAGATACAAGCTGTCTGTTGCTTGTGTTTAAACTTGCTCTGTAAGGATGAGTCCAGGGCAGGGACCCTATCCTGGGTCCACAGTGTAGTTGGTGGTGACCTGGCCAGGTCCACAGCACTGGAGCCACTCCAGGACACGGGATTAGTTAAGGAAAATGAATGCAAAGGCTATGGTAAGTTGAATAAGACATTAACACAGATGGAGAGGTCAGAAGTCAGGTTCAGAAGAACCAAGGCTTTAGGGTGGAATGAGATGGTCTAAGAGGGGATAGGCAGGAGGTGTCCTGCTGCTAGGCCATGTGCTCTGCCCTGAGCCACATCCGGACATGAGGGCCTGAGCTATGAATTGGGAGTGACCTTTGTTGTAGTTTGAATCTGAAACCTTGCCTCTCAAAGGCTTGGTGGTAAACTGATAAGGCTTAGGAAGTGATTGGATCAGAGGGCTCTGACTTCATCAATGAGCCAACCCATTTGTCGTTCATCACTTGTTGATGTTGCAAGTTCATGGAAATAAGGAAGTGGGCCTGGTTGAAGGCTGTGAAGAGGGACCAGGAAGATAAATACTTGGCCCTAAGCCTGATGTCTTAAATGTGATCCCTGGAGCCCACAGGGTAGAAGGAAAGCACCAGCTCCTGGCAGGTTGTCTTCTAGCTTCAACACATGCACACACACACACACACACACACACACACACACACACACACTCACACACTCACACACACTCACACACTCACACACGCACGCACATACTTTCTAAATACATGAAAGAAGTGAAGGGGATAGCTTGTTGCTAGCCTCTTCCATACTCTTCCTTTCTATCTGCTGTGAGGTGAGCCCCCTTGTTTCACCACAGGCTCCTCCCGTGGTGTTCAGTCCCACACTGCATGAGCTCAGAAACAATGGGGCCAAGCATCTCTGGGCTGAAACCTCCGAAACCGTGAGCAAAACTGATGAAAGGAGCGTAGGTGCTGAGACACTGTGAGGAGCACGCGACAGCCTGCATGGCCTCCCTCCCTCCCTCCCTCCCCCTCCCTCCTTCCCTCCTCCCTCCCTCCTTCCCTCCCCCCTCCCTCCCTCTTTCTCACTATCTCCACCTGTTTGTAAAATTTCCACAACAGGGCTGAAGAGATGGCTCAGTGGTTAAGAACATGTATTGTTCTTGCAGTGGGCCCGAGTTCAATTCCCAGCACCCACATCAGGCAGCTTACAACTGCTTGTAACTCCAGATTCAGGGGATGGCCCTAATCTTAGATACATGCACATATACAGACAAACACACATGTACACATAAATAAATAATAATAAAATATTTAAAAAAATTTCCACAACCTCTTTTCATAGTCATGTTTTAAGAATCACTGGTAACTGGGCATGGTGGTCCACACCTGTAATCCCATCACTCAGGAGGCTGAGGCAAGAGAATCATGAGTTCAAGACCAGCTTGGGAAACTTAGTAAGGCCCTAGTAAAAAAAAGAAGGAGGAGGAGGAGGAGAAGAAAGAAAGAAAAGAAAGAAAGAAAGAAAAGAAAGAAAGAAAGAAAGAAGAAAGAAAGAAAGAAAGAAAGAAAGAAAGAAAGAAAGAAGAAAGAAAGAAAGAAAGAGAGAAAGAAAGAAAGAAAGAGAGAAAGAAAGAAATCAGTGCAGATAGGGATCCATAAGCCTTACAAATGCTGGGTGTTGCCTGGAGGTAGTTTCACACGCCTTTAATCCCAGCACTTGGGAGGCAGAGGTGGGTAGATCTCTGTGAGGTCCCTGGTCTATAGAGCTAGTTCCAGGATAACTAAGGCTACAAACACAAAGAAACTCCGGCTCAAAAAACCAAAAAAAAAAAAAAAGAGAGAGAGAAGAAAAAACAAAAACACCAACAGAACAAAATGCTGGGCACTCCTAGACACCTGCTTTCCAAAGGTCGTATTGATTTGGGTTGCAATTTCAATCCATTGTTTCATTTTCTTCACCATGAATGACTTTCTGATTTATTGAGAGATACCTCCAATTGCATGGATAGCAGGGAGCTCCTTTTCATTCACCACAAAGATCTGGATTTTTAGCTAACAGCTGTTACAACTGAGATGCCTACACACTCCATACTGTGCGCAATACCCGTTTCACAACTAGAGACAGGGCTCTGTACAGCTGCAAGACTAGTCTGGGCTGAATCAGTCTGTCAGGTTTCCACAGGGGTATTTTTTCCTTCATATTATTCTAGTGTCAAATCTAGAAATCATTAGACGCTTCCATGTGTACAAAGGATTCCTAAAAGATGTTCGCTGTCCTGTCTGTTCAGTGGTAGAGTGGTTATCCAGCATGCACAAGGCCTTCGGTTCTGTCCATAGCCTCAGCAGAAACTAAGTTCACTCTCCTCATTATTGCATCTTTTCCCAAAACACGAGCTGCTTGCATTTTCTAGACACCTGCTCTAGAGACAGGCATCATCAGCCTCACTGTAGCAGAGGTTAAAGTCTGCCGTGGCTGCTCATTCCTCCATCCAGTCAAATCAGACACACGGGGATGTCTGAGCATTTCACACTTGTGAAATGCCTTTACTGGTGGCTTGGGAGAGTGGTTTCTAGTCAAACAACAGCAATAACAAAGTAAACACTGGTTAATGCAAAATTAACCCTCAGATGTCAGCTAAACCACTTTCTATCCTTCTGTCCCTACCCTGCTTGTGTGAACATAGTAGGTTCCTGTTGTGGGCTACTGGACCATGCTTGTTCCTCTTAACCCCATTCCTCAAAGAGCAAGCCAAAATTACCAGAAAAAAATCACTGTCCCACTGTGTGTGTATGTGTGTGTGACTGTGTGTATGTATGTGTATGACACTGTGTGTGTGACACTGTGTGTGTGACTGTGTGTGTGTGACTGTGTGTATGTATGTGTATGACACTGTGTGTGTGACTGTGTGTGTATGTGTGTGTGACTGTGTGTATGTATGTGTATGACACTGTGTGTGTGACACTGTGTGTGTGACTGTGTGTGTGTGTGACTTTGTGTATGTATGTGTGTGACACTGTGTGTGTGACTGTGTGTGTATGTGTGTGTGACTGTGTGTATGTATGTGTATGACACTGTGTGTGACACTGTGTGTGTGACTGTGTGTGTGTGTATGTGTGTGTGTGTGTGATATGTGAAAGCAAGGTGATCATAGTTATCATAATGGGCAGCATAGACAAAGCAATGTTCATAATGGCCTAACCCTTAAAGGACAGTACAGACAAAGTGATTTTTATGATAGTATGATGTTTATGAACCTTTGGTAATAGCTAATTGATCATGGTGTTTCCAGGTATGAAATAGATGAGAAGCCTACTGTGTTTTGTTTGTCCTATGTAAGCACAAGAATTCTCAAACAAAAGAAAAAAAGGCTACATCGGGTGGTGGCAAAAGGGAATCTTGGCTCATGAACCAATTCCCAGATTTGAGCTAGTTTGCATACCCAGAACCCCTTGAATGAAGAGACAGCCAGGTTCTCCTGAGGGAGGACTTTGATAAAATACCTAAGAGTTTTACAGTTAGTTTTACAGTTTGTAGTCCTTCCCCAGAGGGACCTACAGACTTTTATGAGGGTGACTGTACACTGGGGGAAAGGAAACAACCAGACTTTCCAGGGTCTGTTGGATGCTGGTTCTGAATTGATGCTGATTCTGGGAAAGCCCAAGAAAGATTGTGGCCCTCCAGTTAAAGTCGGGGCTTGTGGGGCCGATGATGAATGGCGTTTGAAGTCTGACACCGTAGGATTCCCCCAGTTCCAGAGTGTATAATTTGGGTAGATAAACTCAGAAGTTGGCAGAATTCTCACATTGGTTTCTTTATCATCAGTTTGTAGTCAGACTTTCTCTGTCCCACCAGTCAGCTCTGTCCTACCAGCTGGTTCCTAAATAACCACACAGAGACTTAGTTACTAGTTATAAATCCTCAGCTGATAGCTTAGGCTTGTTACAAACTAGCTCTTACAACTTAAATTGACCCATATTTCTTATCTATGCTCTACCATGTAGCAGTACCTTTTCTCATCATGGCATGTTCATTTCCTGCTTCCTCTGCTCTTGCTGGTGACCCTGCCCTCCTTCTCAGTGTTCTCCCAGTTTGGCTCTCCTGCCTAACCTCTTCCTGCCTAGCTATTGGCCAGTCAGGTCTTTATTAACAATGAGATTAATACATATTCACAGTATACAAAAGGATTATTCCATAGCAATCCATTTTTTAACATCAATTAAAAGAATAACAGTAGTTATCATATTTAAGTTCATGATACTAAAAGAATGTCCCTAAAGGACATTGTCACCTATTCTAAAATTTGTAATGTGTTTGCCATTGTACGTTGGATAGTTTTATCATGTTAGGCATAATAATGACCTGGTTAAATATACAATGCATTTGCGATTGTACATTGGATAGTTTTATCATGTTAGGTATAATTACTTCCTGGTTATTGTTTTCACTTGGAAGTTAAGGACCACATAAAGAGTTATGATTGTGTGTCAGGTTGACAAGGAGTGGACTTGTGATGGCTGTCCTTGGTTGTCAACTTGACTACCTCTGGAATCAACTAACACCCAAGTGGCTGGGTATACCTGTGAGGAATTTTTTCTTAATTAAATCATTTGAAGTGGGAAGAGCTACTTTTAATCTGGATCTTTGTGTGTGTGTGTAGTTTTTTTTTTTTTTTTTTTTTTTTTAATTTAATATGTAAACAGTGTTCTTTCTGCAAGTTTGCCAAATGCCAGAAGAGGGCGCCAGATCTCACTATAGATGGTTGGAAGCCACCATGTGGTTGCTGGGAAATGAACTCAGGACCTCTGGGAGTGCTCTTAACCTTTGAGCTATCTCTCCAGGCCATGTGTGTAGTTTTTTGAGACAAGGTTTCTCTGTGTAGTCCTAGCTGTCCTGGAACTCACTCTGTAGACCAGGCTGGTCTCAAACTCACGGAGATCCACCTGCCTCTGCCTCCTGAGTGCTGGGATTAAAGACATGCGCCACCATGCCTGGCTAGTGATAACTGTGGAACCAAAATAAGACCAAAATGCTCTCACCCCAAAACTAAAGGCCTAAGACTGCTCCTTTTAGCTACAGGCCATAAGTTACTGGAACAGGCCAGAAGTTACTGAGACCAGTCAGTTCAGATTCCAGAAACCAGGAAGTATATAGTCACGAGGTAATGCCTGCCAGACTATGGAATGTCCTCTCCCTGGTTTCCAGGGTAACTGATCACAGAAATGCCTCCACCTGAGGGCAGCCAATGAGAAATGGTGGCGGGCAACCACTCCCTTAGAAGTAATTTCTAGAAGTCCCTAGAAGCGAGCCAATCAGAATTGTACCTGTACTAGCACCCCTAAATGATGTAACCTTGTGACTTTTCCCTTTAAAAACTGAGCTTGCAGACAGGTGGGTGCTTCCTCCAGCCTCCACTGCGTTGGATGTATTGGACGAAGTCCCTGCCTAGGCTTGTATTGCTTTTGGATATCCAGAATTAAACCTTGCTTTTGCATTCCGGCATGCTCGTCTTTGGTGGTCTCTCTGGGGGTCACAATCTGGGCACAACAATAACAATCGTTTTAAGTCGGAGAGTAATGCTGGAGATGCAGTTGAATTGACGGCGTGCTTGCCTGGCATGCAGAAAGCCAGGGCTTAGTCCCTACCACAGCACAGAACAGCCATGCCTGTTATTTTAATACTCAAGAGTAGAAGGCTGGAGAGATGGGTCCAAAGCTGATACACTGGGTGCTCTTATAGAGAACCCAGGGTAGATTCCCAGCACCCACATGGAGCTCACAGACATCTATAGCTCCTGTACCAGGGGACCCAATACCATTTTGTGGCCTCTAAAGGTACTAGGTATACATACATATAGTACATGGACATTCGTGTAGGCAAAAGACCCATACACATTTGGAAAAAAAAAAATTTTTTTTTAAAGAAATAAAAAGAGGTTTAGCTATGTAGCTTGGTGCTATCATGTACGAGTTCTCAGACTCAGTCTTCAAAACTGCAAAATAAAAAGTTTTTTTTCTAAGTGAGACAGTTTGAGGGGAAAATGTTGTCAGTAGCAGCACAGGTCGTGGATGGATGTGTGGACACTGGCAAATAAACAAAAGCCATATTCTCTTGACCAGCAGGAAATGGGAACATAAGCTGTGAGGTCGTTTGATATAAGGCCATGGAATTTGGACTCAGCTTGGAGGAACAACAAGAAGTTTCCATCAGGAAAAGGCTGTACGTGACTGCTTTTCAGGAGGATCCATCCTAACCATGGGAAAGATGGAATGGAGCACTGATGGAAACAGACTGAAAATTATTTCTAACGTCCTGCTAGGAGGTGACAGAGCCATGAACTCACACATGGGAAGAGAAGTGTGAGTGGCTCTCCTTTGTCCTGAATTCATCTCCCAGACCCGAGGCACAGCCCCACAAACACTTAAAAACTGGGCATGGGGATGGTGGTACACACCCGTAATTCCATCATTCTCGAGGTGTAGGCAAGAGGACTAGAAATTCAGTGTAGTCTTTGGCTACATGGGAAGTTCCAGGCTAGCCTGGGATACAGTACCTGAGATCCAGTCTTAGAGTTGGTGGGGGCGGGTGATGATCTCAGATCACCAGATGCTCTTGGCATTTGGAGTACATTGCCCTATGCTTGTATCTAAATATCCACTGTGACTGTAAGATTCTGTAGTTGAAGACGTCTCTCTGTGTCATCTCTCATTTACAGACTATAATACTTATTCAGCAGCAACAAGAAGTTTTACCATGGTTTTCTTCTTATTTTATTTAAAAATTGAGTAGCAGCATTTATGCTCTTTTTCGGTTTGTTTGGTTGGTTTTTGGCTTTTCCAGACAGGATTTCTTTGTGTAGCCTTGGCTGTCCTGGAACTCACTTTGTAGACCAGTCTGGCCTTGTACTCACAGAGATCCACCTGCCTCTGCCACCTGAGTGCTGGGATCAATGGAGTACACTCTACCGCCTGGCTTGGATTTTATGTTTTTAACCTATAAAAGCTGGTAACCTGGGCTGGAGAGATGGCTCAGAGGTTAAGAGCACTGACTGCTCTCCCAGAGGTCCTGAGTTCAATTCCCAGCACCCACATGGTGGCTCACAACCATCTGTAATGAGACCTGGCACCCTCTTCTGTATACATAATAAATAAATAAATCTTAAAAAAAAAAGCTGGTAACCTGGTCAAGGTGTTGGCAGGCGATGGCTCTGGGGGATTTGCAGCTGTCAGTCATTCGTCTGACAGATATATATTGAGTGGGGAGACTCGGCCAGAGGTAAATGCCCTGAGCCATTGTGCACTGATTGATGGTGGCTCGAAGTAGCATAAGAAATGGCTAGATGCATTGGGAGTGTGTTTTGAGGCAGAACCAAGTGTGATTTTCGGTGGATCGGATGTTTCTTGGTTGGAAAGACGAGGAGTTGGGGAAGCATCTCAGGTGCCTGGGAGGAAGGAGTTGCTCTCTACGGAGGTGATGAAGCATGTTGGCAGGAGCAGGTCATACATTTAGCTTGGAACCTTATCTAACTTTAGGCAGCCGCTAGAATTCTGCCTTGAAGTTTTGAGAAAGAGGTCCAGGCTGGAGGTCTGCATGTAAGCATTGTCTCCAGAGATGATGATCAGAGTAGAGAGGCTGAGTGGTGTCCCTTCTGAATGGATATAGGGCTGACTGGATCACTCCAATAGGAAGATATGAAGACAGAGAGGTGTTGGGATGTTAAGGAGAAAGAGTGTTTCTAGGAAACCAGGAGGAGCAGTGAGGTGGCTGAGACTAACTCTGCCACATGCTGCTGCTGCCAATAGGTAAGTATTCTGGAACAAGAGAATGGGCTGCTGGATTTAGCAGCATGGAGGTCACTGCTCACCGAAACAAGAGCAGATTTGGTAGAAGCATCATTACCAGTGAACTGGAAAAGTGCTTTTGTCTTTGGATAAGGCAGCCGAGGATAGGGTACCTCCCCAGGCGAAGGACAACTGGAGACCTGAGGACAGATTAAGCCAGCTTGCTCTTTCTTACTTTTAAAGATGTATTTATTTATTATGTACACAGTGTTCTGCCAGCATGTGTCCCTGCACTCCAGAAGAGGGCACCAGATCTCATTATAGATGGTTGTGAGCCACTTTGTGGTTGCTGGGAATTGAACTCAGGACTTCTGGAAGTCAGTGCTCTTAACTGCTGAGCCATCTCCCCAAACGCCCCCCCCCCCCGCCCCCGCCCCCGGCCACTTAAGCTTTTAATGAGAACAAAAAACAGTGAAAGCACATCTTGCAGGGCTGGAGAGATGGCTCAGCAGGTAAGAGTTCTTGCTGCACAAGCTTGAGGACCTGCATTCAAATCCCCACCACAGATATTTTTTAGAAGGAAAAAGAGGAAGGAAGAGAGGAAGGGAGGGAGGGAGGGAGGGAGGGAGGGAAGGAGGGAAAGAGGAAGAAAGGACTAACAGTATGGAGCCGGGTTTATGTCTGTAAACCCAGCACTTAGGAGATAGAGGCAAGGGGCTGGAGAGATGGCTCAGTGGTTAAGAGCACTGACTGTTCTTCCAGAGGTCCTGAGTTCAATTCCCAGTAACCACATGGTGGCTCACAACCACCTGTAATGAGATCTGGTGCCCTCTTCTGGCCTGCAGGGACACATGCAGACAGAACACTGTATAATAAATAAATAAATAATTTTTTTTTTTTTAAAAAAAAAAGGAGAGAGAAGCAAGAGAATTGGGAACTCAGGCGAGTTACATGAGGTTCTGTCAACGAAAACAAGAAAGAGAAGGAAGAAAGAAAAGAAAAAAGAAGCCCCTGCAGGGGTTAGGTGGGTAGACCAGAAGTAGCAGGAGGGAACTGATTCCCTCACAGCTGAAGATCAAGGTCGACTCAGGGTGATGTACTCTTTAGAGCAGAAAAATCAAGCTCCACTCTTCAGGCTGGTGCACTTGTGTGCTTAGCATGGGAAATATGGCCAGAAGGGGAAGGCCCGCCTGGGCCCTGGAGAGCTGAGGGTTGGTGTGTGCCCATACGGGTGAGACGGCACTTGTGGACAGTCATTTGCACCTGATCAGGTAGCTGTGTGTGTGTGTGTGTGTGTGTGTGTGTGTGTGTGTGTGTGTGTGTGTGTGTGTGGCCCAGGGTAGGTGACCCTGACAGGCAACAATTGTAAATGGATGTCAGGAATTTCTGTAATTGAATGAATGGCCCACACTTTAAACTCTCTCCTCGACTCCCCCCCACCCCCCATTACTGGTCTCCCTGGCTAACTCTGACAGTGAGGGATGAGTTTTTCTTAATATTGTTCATGGGACAACACATTTTTTTTTTTTTTGTTTGTTTGTTTTTTGAGGCAGTGTTTCTCTTTGTAGCCCTGTGGTAGTCCTGGAACTTGTACACCAGGCTGGCCTCAAACTCAGAGATAAACCTCTGCCTCCTTTGGGCTGGGATTAGAGGCAGTGCACCACCACACCTGGCCAGGGCTAACACATCTTAAATCAAGAGATTGGAGCTCTCTTCAGCCTTTGTGGTTGACCTTAAATTGACCTTCATTATCCCATTAAGGAAATGAGGCCCAGTACATTACAACATTACCAGTTGCAAATGATTTCTATTATATACATACATACATACATACATACATACATACACACATACTGTATGTATTATACCCCTTGTGTATATACTAGATTTACTGGAAAATATCATTTATAATTATAATCTATGAACTATGCAATCCATCTCTGGAAAATGTACATACAATTCAGTGAATTTCATGACTTTAGTTTATTACAGTGTTGAACAACTATTGTCATGATCAATTTTATTTATATCCGTGTTTTTTCAACCCCAAAGGAGATTTCCTGTGCTCATCAGCCGCCGCTCCTCATCCCCGAACCCCCAGCCCTAGGTGGGCGCGTACCCGCTCTGTGTCTCCGTGGGTTTGCCGATGCGGCCTGCCATGGAAGTGGGAGCCCGCGCCGCTCCGTGAACTTCTCACGGGGTCCCTTCTTGACATAATGTTTTCGTGGTTCCTCGTGGTTTAGTGTTTGTCAGTATTTTGTTTCCTTTTATAGCCCAATGCCTCATCAAATATATCTTTTAATTTTACTACATTTACTTACTTTGTGTGTGTGCACATAGGCAAGTGAGCAGGTGCGCACATCAGAGGACAAGTTCTCTCCTTCCACCGTGTGAATCCTGAGGATTGAACTCAGGCTGTCAGGGTTGGTGGCAGGCTCCTTTAATCACTGAGCCCCTCACCAGCCCAGTGTATTCCAGATTTAATTATGCGTTGATCAGCTATAGAAATATAAAAAGCACTTCAATGAAAATTGGGTACAAAAATTTGAATGTGTTTCTGGGGTGTAAGTGTGAAATGGATTTAGATTTATACATTTTTGTTTGTTTACAAGATTTATTTTAATGATGGGGGTGGGTATATGCATGTAAGGGCTGGCATCCACAGAGGACAGTGGCATCTGATCTTCCATCTTCCTGGTGCCAGCGTCACAGGTGGTTGTGAGCCACCCATTGTTCATTCTTGGATCTTCTGGAATAGCAGCACATGCCCTTACCTGCTGAGCCATCCCTCCAGGCCCTTGCTTTTATTTCAATATATAGGCCTAGCTGATCTGGAACTTCTATGTGGACCAGAATAACCTGGCATTTGTAGCCAGGCTCCTGCCTCTGTCACTGGAGTGCTGAGATAGAGATGTGTGCCACCACACCCAACTCTGCCCTCTTGAAGACACTCGGAAGTGGCCTATGGCACATTGTCGCAGTGTTAGGAGTAGAGCTGGAATATCAAAGTTCTGCCGGGGCTATCGGTCCTTAGGACTGTAGCCATGGTCTCTCTGCACCCCAGACCCCAGTTCTCAAAGGGCCATGTTTCTCTTTTCTAATGCTGTAGCAGATTACAGTTAACAGGGTAGAAAGTGGGGCGGTGGGGATGGGGGTGGAGGGTGGGGGGGAGATTCCACCTGCACTGGCCAACATGTTGGGGAAAAAATCAGGTTGTTTCAGAATCCATTGTTTACTTTCAGCTGCATAGTAATCTTCAAGTAGGTTTCCCTTACAACCTCTCCAAAGATGGCAGGAAAGGCAGCCAAATGCCCGAGTCTGGGCTGGGTGGGGGAAGCTTGTAATTGCCTGTCGCTCTCTGGATTTACTTGTGCAGAGCACCAATTAAAAATCTTAAATGTGGCTTTTTCAATGGGATTACATTATGTCTTTTTTTATTATTATCAAATATGAGTGCACGTGTGTGTGTGTGTGTGTGTGTGTGTGCATGGAAGCACGCACGCGCACATATGTGCCTGTGTTTTAAACATTTCCATAATGAGTTCCCAAGTGCTTTTTTGGCCGTGGTTATTAAAGCT